GGGGGGGGAGGGATAGTGGGTAGGGACAAGAAGGGGTAGTGGAGTGGTAGAGTGGAGGGGCGGGGGGGCAGGGGGATTCGCGCTTTCAGCATCACTGGTCAGGGGGGGGGGGCTGTAGGCTGTTACATGGTGTTGAAACAAGTGTTCGGCCCCTCGCGAGAGCGGCTATGGGACGACATGCCCCCCCCTCAGTGCCACATTGCATTGCAGCGAAAGCTTCTGCGGGCTTGCCGTTCGGCACAAAAGTACGAAGAACAGTAGAGAAAACGAACCATCTCCTAGGTAGGGGGGCTCTCAGCCTTTCCTCCATGGATCCACACACACACACACACACAACGTCGTGTACGCTTGACTGCGCCCTGTCTCAAAACACTCGATATCACTTTGTACACAGCGGCACCCACCTTCCGTTGTCCGAGATGCTAAGGCTGTCCAGTTGCCCCGCCTCCTTGGCGAGGCGATGGGTTTTGATCTCCTGCAAGTCCGGAGCGTTTATCGAGTCAACTCCCCAACACTTCCCTCATCGATCGACCAAAGCCAGCAGGACAATTTTTCAGATCCATGGCCACCGACGGAAAACAGCGCAGTGCACGTGCGCGTGGCATGGGAGGGAGGTAAGGATACCGTTAGTTGTTGTTGTTGTTGTTGTTGCTGTTGCTGTTGTGGGGGGGGGGGAACCCCGTCAAGGAAGCCGCCTACAAAAAAAAATGCCCCGTTGCCCCTCCTGCCGCCCTTCCTCTCCGACCCTGCCCCATTCCTGCCCCCCGAGCCCCTTTCCTTTTACCCGGCTCACCCGCCAGTCGCGCATATCGATGAGCTTCACGGACCCGTCCCCGCACGTGGCCAGCTTGTGCGTGGCGGCGCAGTGGGCGATGCCTCGGAGCTCGCCCGTGTGGAACTTGGCGCAGTACTGCTCTCTTCCTGTCCGTCCCGGCGACGAGGCCGTTGGGGGGGGAGGGGGGCGGTGGCGAGTGTTTGAAGTGGGGGATGGGGGTGCTTCATGGCTTCATAGGAGGAGGAGGAGGAGGAGGAGGAGGAGGAGGAGAGACAGGGATATTAACCATTTACATTCTATGAGACTTTGGGGGGCCTGCGGATGTAGCAATGTCGAGGACTACCACCTTGCCAGGCGTATCCCCGACACACTCAAGCCGCGGAAGTCTTCATGCCATGCAAGCCCCAAGCCCCCCTTTGGGTGCACATGGCATCGACTGTCGTATGTGTATCCCTACTTGAGCCCCTCTTCAATTGGAACTACCTTTAGTCAGTCTCTGAATTTCTTTTTTCTCTGTGTGTGTGTCTGTCTGTCTGTCTGTCTCTCTCTCTCTCTCCCTCTCCCTCTCTGGGATTTCCATGTTCTACGACGAACCCGGGACATCTTGGACGTTCTACTTCCAAGTACGGTGCAGCCTTTTTAAGGAAGGGGGTGTCATCATGTGCTGATGGCACAGGGAAGGATTTTCCACAAAATGCCAAGCGCTCATTTCATTTCAACCCCACGACTCCTACAAAGCTTGGGACGCGCTACATATAGCGGTACGGCCATGGAAGGAGCATACCCCACACTTTCCACTAGCGCTGTCGATGTCGAGTGCTTGCCACTGACTGGCCGACAGGTTCGCCTTACGCTGGGCTTGCTGGGCTTCGCAGAATCCCAGATGCCATAGCGTTTGAAGTTAAACCTTTCTGTGTATACCGCTCTATGTCTTTTCGGGGGTAAACTATCCCTTGGGGTCTGGAACAACACACAAGAACGGCATGAGACGTCAATTGCCAGGAAGCCATACAGAAAAACACACGGAAAACAAACACCCCGACCAGTAGAATATCAAACACGCCGACGTACCTATTTCGTGGGCGTGCGTGGAGATGACGACGATGAAGCCTGACGTAAAGCCGGCCATGATGTAACCGTCACCGAACCACCGGTACGATAGAATCTTGCCGTACCTCGTCTGAATCACAAGCAAAGCGAGCGGGCAGCAAGAAACAGAGGGGGGGCGAAACAAAACCCGGCCAACCCCGCCAGAAGCACGCAGGCAAGGAAGGCATGAATGAGATAGAGTCTTGTAGCATGTAGCATATGCCCCAACGACCTTAGAGCACAAAAGCACGCCGCGAACAGTGTCAACAGCATAGCAGCAGCAGCAGCAGCAGCAGCAACAGCAGCAACAGCAGCAGCAGCAGCAACAATAGCAGCAACAGCAACAGCAGCAGCCACACTAACGACAACAACTACCGCAAACAAACACAGCTACGACGACACCCCACGACGCACTTGAAAGGCCAGCTCGAGGGCGTTCTCCTGGTCGTGGAGGTTGTAGAGCAGGATGGTTCGGCCGTCCATGTTGACGCTCACGATGCACTCGTCCTGGTCCTGCTTTCCGCCGAAGGCCACGTCCAGCGGCCGACACTTCACCTTCACCTGCGAACCCGCAACGCACATACACGCGCACGTGTTTCGCTTCATCTGCTGCGTCTGATTCTTGTCGTTAATCCGGGGAAAGCCTAGCCTCGCTCACACGGTCGGCGCCAGATCATGGTAATATAGCCTTCACAAGCGCTTTTCTGTTTTCAGCTGCACTTGAGACTGAAGCATTTTCATTGGTCAGCCGGCTAGCGCGAGGCGGGCGATGCGAAAAACAATATCACAAACACACACACCGGGTCATGGCCGTTTTCCGCGTGGAGCCGGACTGAGACTCACGTATTTTTGTTGTCAGCCGGTTATGTAACGCGTCTGAACAAACGCACAAACACACATACCTTGGTCAGCCCGTTAGCGCGGTCGACCCAAGCCAAACAAGCGTGCACACAACACATTGGGCAGCCGGTTAGCGCGGCCGATGCTACAACAAACAAACATGGCGATAGGACGGCGCCGCCAAGCACACCACACACCGACCATGTACCCTACCCTACAGTATTCTACAGTAGTACCCTACCTGGTCTTGGATCTGCCCGGTCTCCGAAGTGACCGAGATCTGCTTGTCGTCGCTGCCGTACGCGAGCTGGTTCTGGTAGCTCCACGCGCCGCAGTTTATTCGCCGCTTGTGCTTGCCCGCCGCCCACATCTGGTGTCCCACCATGGGAGCATGCGGTGTCACGAGCCAGGGCGATGATGATGATGGACAAAGAAATGACGCCAAATTTTAAGGAGGGATGGAAAATGGGCAAGAACATCAGAACGAAGGCGTCAAAATATCAACACCGAGCGACAAAAGCAAAGGATGGCCCACTGTGGTTAAGCGGGAGAGGGGTGGGGGCATGAGCGCGCACATGGGCGGCAGGGGGGGTAGAAACGGGGGTATGTGTGTGCGCTCTGCGGAGGCACGTCGATCCCGGAGCAAATACACACTTTCGGAACGGTCTAATTAACAACCAGCTGTTAATATCTTGCTCGGTTGCACCAACGTCTCTTGTCAACTCACCTCCGCAAGACAACCATGCCTTATGCAAGCTAACAATGCAATGAAACCATGCCTGACGCAAGCTAAGCATGCCATAAAACCATGCCTTATCCAAGCTAAGCATGCCATTGAACCATCATGCCATAAAACCATGCCCTACGAAAGGCAACCATGCCCCACGCAAGAGAACCATGCCTTCTCGTTGGTGCGGCGGTGGTATATGCACATGGTCCCCTTCCCGGTGCCGAGGGCGAGGTAGTCCCCCGTCTTGGACCAGCTCACGAAAGTCACGTCCTGGGATTTTTCAGCAGAAACCAGAAGCGAGAGAAAGAGAGACAGACAGACAGACAGACAGGAGGCCGAGAGAGAGAGAAAGGACGTTACGTGTGGTGCTGTGATGCGTGTACTGCTCGATGGACCAGCTCTCGATTTTGCGTCTTAGATTTAGCTGGGTAAATGGGGGGACGCATTCTGCGCGACGAGAACGGAAAGCCAACAAGCGACCAGACGGAAAACGGACCAGAGCTGGAAGGAGCATCAAACAAGAAACGCTTGCAGTAGATGAGCCTGCGTTTCTAACCTTGGCAAGTGTTTTCTCGAATGTACACAGAACGAACTCAGTGTAACCAAGTCGATGCTCCTAACGTTCTTGATAGAACCAGCCGCCGTCGGTGCTGTATTTCTGTGTGGTGTACTGCACTCTACGACTGCAACTACGAGGATAAATTGCTCCATAAGATTCGGTCAAAATGACAAGTACGAAGTATTCCGTGAAAAACACAGCAGCAGCTCCTAACCAAATCTTCGACTAGAGGGCCCAGTTCTTGCTACAGTGTTGCGTGCTTCGTTCACGTTTGAGTTACCGACCTTGACTCCCACGTCGACAGCTCTCGTTTTCCACTGTCGGGTAAACCACAGCACCACCACCGATGAGTTAGCCTGGGCGATCGCTAGGGAAAGCCCGAGCGGGTCCCACTCCAGTGCAGTGCAGGCGCTGTCATCGGTACCGTTGTTGGTGATGGTGTGGTTTGGTGTGGTTTGGTGATTGAGCGAGAGAGAGAGAGAGAGCACGGGAAACAGGCTTTCAAGGGCAGATAAACGAACGGGGACTCAGACAGGGCCAGCCATCATCGACATGAACGTTAATGACCCTGGCTACCGTCTTCTCTCCGGCTACCGATGTCTCATGTAACATGCTCGTGAAATAGGACCAAGGACGGCAGCGGATTAGCTCGGTGAAGAAAGGAAGAAAGTGACATGACAACACTGAAGCAGAGTTACAGAAGCTGCCTGCCACGAGGCCTGGCGACGGCCACAACCTCATGTTCGTGGGGGGACGGCGAGTGAAAGGATCGTTTCCCTCCGAACCGACTTGCTGCTCTGCAGCAAACGTTAGACAGGCGCAACGGTGCACGGGGGCGACACCTACGTAGTTGGCGTGGGCGATTTGTGGAGGCACCACCGCCTCTTCAATGTGGGTGCCTGACACCAAGACTACCGACGTTCGTACCACGTGCCCATACATGCTCGTTTTCTTCAGGCCGTGGAGTACATACGCGTGAAGAGCCATGTGAACCCCTCGACTACTGCTGCCTCGGCATCAAAGACGAAGGGAAAAACAGTTGCCAACATACCATGAAATGCATAAGAGCTACGCACCAACACGCCGGCCCATAAAGCATCGATAACACAATCGTCCGCCTTGGGGCCATACTGTTACTACCCTGGGCGCGCGGGTTTTCGAGCCCCCTTCAGCAATTGTTCTGTTAAAACCGTCTCGTTCCGACTTTATTTCGCACCCCGTACGCTGCTTGTATGACTCCTGTGTGCGCAACTGTACCTCGGTACGGGGTGTGATACTAATGAATGTACGTGATGTCTACCTGCAAACACCCAGCACTACACTCCGACGGGAGCGATGGTGACTGCGAGCGCACCGGCTGCAGCATATTTTGCAAACGCAATGACGCTTGCGCAGATTCCATAAAAACGCTGGAAATTTAGTGGACGAATCATAGCAGGTGGACTTGAACTGCTGGCACCTTCCCCCCAGTGCTACGTGGTGGCTGCCATGGTGCCATAAATACAGAGGCACAGCAGACCTTACCCTTGGTTTCAAGACACCTCACTGCTGTCGCGTGGGGATTTCACCGCGTGGTGCCATGTCCCATATGGGCCAAAAAACACATATCATGTCCTGCGGCAATACCCTTGTTGCGCACCACGGTCGCCCCAAAAGTCAATCGCACTGGGACTACCAGACAGTGTGACACTCCATTCGGCACACACCTGGTGGTTGGCAGAGACTTGATGGTGTGGAGGAGCTGGCCGTGGCAGGTGAAGATGTGCACCATGCGGTTCGACCCCGAGGTGGCGAGCAGGGTGCCCTGCGGGTGCCACGCGAAGATCACCGGTCCTTTCCCATGGTGTCGGGCGTCGACCACGAACAGGGGGTCCATTTCCTCCGGACCTCGTGTCCTTGCTTCGCACCTCTCGCCCTGACTCGCGGAGAAGCTGTGTGTGCTGCGGCTGGCGCTCTCCCGGCTGCCTAACACCCGAACCAAATCTACGTAGATGTGCCCCAGCCGCTGACCTGGACGCAGCCCCTGATGTAAAGAACCGATTCCCCGGGACCCCTGGGTCCTGCGACCCGCAACAGTCACCACCCACCTGCCTCTGGTTTGTGGCAAGCGTGTGTGATATAGGCTGCACCTTTGACGGTATGCCGACACACCGCCGAACAAGAAACAACAGAGTCTCGCAAGTCGCTATATCTCCGCCGCACCCTCCCCAAAACGCTTCCCCAGATGCCGAAACGCCGCCAAGAAGAGTATGAGGAAAACCGCTGAAACCGCCGCCACGACGAGGCCCTTGGATTCGAGTCGATTCGAGTGACCCGATACAGCATGTGATGGTTACCACGCGAGGTACCTTGTACAGCCAGTGCCAACGTTACGCAGAGTTCCCTCGAAGGGAGGTGGGGGCACTCTGCAGCCTAAAGCGACGAGATTGTCACGGGAGTGCAGATATACCAGAGTGGCCCCGAGCTACTAAATACCTGTACGTAAAGCATCATATGTTGAGCGGCAGAAGAATACGAAAGGAAAACCATGGGGCTGCTCCCATTGGAGCTTGACGGAGCTCCCTTCTCCGCCGAGGGTCTGAAGAGCACAAAGCAGGTACGAGCTACATCGAACAATGGACATGGCGACATGTCGGTGCCTCCTGAAGAGGCTTCGATGTTGTTGCATATTGCCTGCGGTTTCGAAGGATATTTGTAGTCTAGTCATGATCCGACGTCCAGCTAAACATTGGTGTTGGATACTGCACGGCTGTACATACCTGCATGTCATCCCCTACAAATACATGATAATCCGAACAAGACCTTGCCGCGTGGTCATGCCAACCGTCGCAGATTAGGACGAAGCAACTTCACACTGACGCTGGAGAATTAGAGGTTCCGCCGCCGGAGGGGTACACCAGCAACTCCAACAAAGAGGTAGACCCATGCCAACGAGGAACCCTACACAACGGATTTTCGTTCCAATTGTCATAACCATGCACCTCTTTACGTGAGTGTTCTATGGCGCTGTACGTCCCTGTACTATTTCGTCGTAAACTTGTTGATTGCGCGAAGGCAGCCCGCTGTACGTCAGGTGGTAGGGTGACAACGTGACAGCAAATCCTCACCCACACTTTGCTGTGCACCTACTGCAAGCGGCGTCTGTCCAACTCCGGGAACTTTTATCCAGCGGCAGCAGTCCCACATCTTGCGCATCACACATGGTGTGAAGTGTTTACTGTACAATCAGCCATAGGTGTGGAGAACGGAAGACTTGATAACGTTCTGATTACAAAAGACATGCGGGTGGCTTTGGCTGCCGGAAATTCTTCCTCGTCTCCCATGGGGCGGTTATGTGACAAAACCATCCGGAGCATAATTTGGTTTCGATGCGCGTGTCCAGCCACCGGACGCTTGGCTTGACGTCACTCCACCAAAGCGTAAGCATGTCATGAACTAAAGTAACGTATGTGTCCTTTTGTTCTCGTTCAGGAGCTTTGCCTGGAGTACATAAACAACTTTCGAGTGCAGTTCGACAAGCTATACCCGGGTCGGCGGCGGCTTTTCCTCACCGCCCCCAACGAGTACGGGGTGGAGAAGTTTGTGTGCACCACTCTCCGCCCGACTCTCCTGCCCTACCGGTAAGCATGCGTGCCTCGTTCCCAGACCCCCAATGATCGATACGTGCCAGGGACAGACTTGAGTGTGCGGGTAAAAGTATTCGTTTGTGGGACAGCAATCCCTATTTTATCCGATTCTGTCGAAACAGGGACTCCCATCAAGAACGGCAAAAATAAACACAGACTGCGCTCATGAATTCCATCTCACCCTTCGAATCCCGTTCTGGCAACCTGCTCGCCAACTCCCAGAGAAATATACGACCTTGAGAAGTGTTCCGAGTTCGTCACCAACTTTTTGCACTACGAGCCTCTCGAAAGGCCCACGGAACCACCAAGTTTCTTACCGTCTCCAGGACAGGTGAGTTGCGCATTTATGTTATCAGTTTTTCCGTCTGAAGTTTTTTGCAGCATTCGGTTCATCTGATTAGACATAAGCGGACGTCAAGCAAGAAGCAGACCCGCCACCAAACGCCGAGGAAGTCTCCGCTTGGTTTTATCACCAGATTTGCAAACAATCGTTGCACTACTGTTACTCGTATTTTGGGGTGTGAGGGCAGACAACTTGGTGGGGTTCAAGCACGTTGGGAGGAAGGCACTCAAACGACCGCTCTGGCTCGGGTAGAGGATCGATCGATCAAATCATGCCCCGTTGCTCCGTTCGTCCTGTCGAGCGCATCCATCGTGTGTTGCAGATACCAATCTGCAGAAATGCCGATTCTCGTGTGTTGAGAATTTCCCCGCAAAATTATTCTGCTGCTGTACGACCCACCTCATCCCCATACGTACGGCTTAAGCATTAATACCGTGCAATCTGGTTTGCCGAAACTTCGTTTTTCGGCATGTCAGGTTCTAGAATGGACCGTCGGAGACTCCTTCGACTTCGCCATGGTGCTGTGCTCGCTTCTGCTGGGGGCAGGGTACGACGCCTACGTCGTGTACGGCACCGCACCCGGGTACGTGTGTTCTGTTGACGACGCGTGCGTCTTCGAGGCCCTTGCAGCCAGCCCCCAGGGTCGCGCGCGAGGCAATAATTTGCTTTTAACACCCAACGTCTTCGGTCTCTTTCATCCCGCTTTGCCGCAGCCGCCTTCACCCGACTCACAAGTGCTCTTCACGTACTTTCCAGTGCATAACACCAACAACAACAGTAGTCTATTCCTTGCTGCACACGCATCCTACAATACATCAAACTTATGCATATTCGTGCTACCGTACTTCAAAATGTTCATAGACGACGCGTTCTACCCAACTTCTGCATTGGCACATGAAATCACAGGCGTGACCTAGTACTCTCTAGTTGGTGTGGACCGATTTGCACATACAAAGGGCCGCCCCATATGGTGGGGCTAAAAGCCATCCTTCTCGGGGGCGAAAACTGCAATGTATTTTCTGGGGGGGGTGGGACTAGGTGGAGGCGTGACGGCTGCCAAGCCCGAAACATCCTTGCATGTGTCGATCTACATGTGTGTTTTGCCGGATCTCGGTCATCCGGTGTTTGTGGGGCTTTTCGTTGTTGTCGTCTGGAGCAGCTGTGTCCTTGACTAGAGTATCCACTCCATCACCGAATCCAATGAGGCTGTCAAGGCTTACCCCCCCTCCCCATACGCTCCGTCGTGGGTGTGCTGCTCTGTGTAGGTGGATCACCGTGCGCGACCGAACCAGGACAACCTGCCCGTACATCGCGTCCACGATGCCCCAAAACGCTGGTGATGAGGTCCACGAGAATGGGATCGGCATGCCGCCCCCTCCGGCAGGGCGAAAGGTACAGCGAGCGGTCGTGGGGGTTCCTCAACGGTTCCGGTTGCCTCATACCGCCCGGTATAGTGCCGGTGGAATCGCGGTTGACACGCATGGAATACTCAAGCTGTCTCAGTATTGTCTGGATAGTGACGGATGCCCGGCATAGCGCCGATGAATCTGGCGGGCAAACATCGGCACTCCTGGGAGACCCCCACCTGTGTGCTATGGTATCCCCCACTGTGGATTTCTTCCTGCATTCGAAATGTTTCGCCGAGCGTGTAGTGTTGTGACTGGCTCGGGGGGGGGAATCGGTTGGTTCACCGTACCTCAGTCATATGTGGTAGAAGCGCTGCATGATGCGTGTGTTCGGCGATGGCGTGGTGAGCGTTTCTATTGACGCGCATCGACCACGCTTACGAGCTGATCGATGGAATCTCGAACGCGAGCATGTTCTCTTGTAAGTGTGTGTTTCTTGACAAGTAAAACTAACCGCGCTACGAAACAGCAGTCTCGGTGCGGCTGAAAGCGCTTCTAAAGGCCATGGTCGTTGCGCGTGTGTGCGCGTGTGAAAGGACCTTTCGGCGCTCCCAAGAGCATGCATGATAGAACAACACAGGGTCTGACGCGTAGATAAGTCCCTCTTGTAATTGATTTTTTTCTCTGATAACATGACGAGAACCCACGTAATGTAGTTCGACCTGCGAGACAGCACCGCCCCTCTCGGACGTTTTGTATGACATTCACACGACCCAAAAACACGGCAGCAACTAGACGACAAAGAAAGCGGCAGCAAGCCAGCAGGCTCCCAGGGGGGCGGTGGTCACCCGGCGGGGGCGGGGGCGGGCGGCGGCGGCGGCGGCGGCGGCGGCGGCGGCTCCGCCGCCGTCGCCACCACGAGTGACTCCCAACCGAAGTCGGCGCAAGGAAGAGGCGACGGGGACCCCGCGGACGCGGCAGCGGGGTCGTTGCCAGAGGGTGCTTTGGCCGACGATGTCGGCGGTGGCGGCGGCGGCACCGGGACGGAAACGGGAGAAAAAGCCTCGGCGGAGGGCGGCGGCGGCGGCGGGGGCGAACAAGTCATGGGGGAGGAGGGGGGTGACGCCGGGGGCGATGGGGTAGGGGGGGAGGATGTCGGCGGAGAGGATGGGGGGTTGGAGGCATTGGAGAGCGAGGGGAAAGCGGAGAAGGTAAGCACGGAACGGCGGGAGCATGGAGTGATGCGCGAGACTCTTTTCCAACGTCAGGGGGGTGCCCTCTCGATGTTATGGCGGGGTTTAAGAATCAGGTGCAGGTCGTAGCGGAAAAATACTAATAGTCAGAACACAGCCCTTACATGCAATACGCGTACTTTTTCGCGTTTGTTTTTCAACCTCGGCCAATCCTCACAGCTTCATGGCCACCCTTCCCACCTCGATACCTCCACACACCCCACTGGCTCAATGCACCAAGAAAACCAATAAACCCGCGTTTTTCTTTCGTTGATCCCGAGAAGAAGGACGCCCGTCCTTACTCGGTGAAGCCACGGGGCGCCCCCGCCAGCGTGTTCCTACGAGAGGCAGCGAGGCGGGCGGCGGAGGCGAAGGAGGCCGCGAAGGTGGACCCCTGGCAGAGCGACGGGGAAGAGGAGGAGGAGAGGGACGCCGCCGAGGAGGAGGAGGGCGATCCTCTCCGCGGCGAAAGGATGCACGCTTGGGTGAGTAATATATTAGTGGCGGGTGGTTGCTATAGAGGGGGGACGTGTGAGGGTTGCGGCGGTGCCTGCCATGTCCTGGTTCGGTGTTGTTGCGGCAGCACTATGATGATCGATGATCGACAAGAACAAGATGAGATCATCAACAACAACAACAACGGCAACGACAGCGGCAACAACAACAACGGCAACAACAACAACAACAACAACAACAACAACAACAACAACAACAACAACAACAACAACAACAACAACAACAACAATATACCACTCCAGGTGCTGGTGCGCGGGGGAAAGCGCGGGGCAACAGGTGTGTCATACGTCGAACCCACCACAGGAGACATCTACCCGACGTCCGCGGCGCCCTACCTCACCGTCGAGGGACTCTTTAACGCCAAAAACTACTGGGTCAACATGCAACAGCAGCAGCAACAGCAGCAGCAACAGCGGCAGAAGGAGACCGATGGAAAAGGCGGCCAAGGTGGCGAAGGCGGTCGGAGAACAGCCCCCCTCTCCTTCGACCTGATGGACGCAGGGCAGTGGGAGTACGTCTTCATTGATCCCATGCAGGAGGTGAGAAGGAGCACGTCTTTATCGAACCCATGCAAGAGGTCAGAGGAGGAGGCGTCGACCCGGTGGGGGTGGCGGGGCGGCGGGTTTTTCCTTGCGGGGCCCCGTCTTGTTCGGTTGATGTTTTGTTTTTGTGAATGTGTGCACAAGGTATGCCCGGCGGCCTATCCGCATTTCCCCACTTCCCGCCCTCTCTCTCTCTGTCTCTCTGTCTCTCTCTCTCTCTCTCTCTGTCTCTCTCTGTCTCTCTCTGTCTCTCTCTGTCTCTCTGTGTCTCTCTCTCTCTCTCTCTCTCTCTCTCTGTGTCTCTCTCTCTCTCTCTCTCTCTCTCTCTCTGTCTCTCTGTCTCTCTCTCTCTCTCTCTCTCTCTCTCTCTCTGTCTCTCTCTCTCGCTCCCTCTCTCTTCCTCATCATTCCTCTCTCTCTGTGTCCATCCCTCTCCTTCTCCCCGACCTAACAGATGCTGGAGGCGGCCGAAGCGTTGGACGAAAACGACGACCTAGGCCTCCTCACAGGGGGAGGGGGCGGAGGGGGCGGCGGCGACGACGACGCGAACTCCAACGACGGGCGCGAAGGCGGACCGGCGAGCGCGGAGTCCCAAAAGGTACCACCACCCATAAATCGTTTCCGGAAGTCAAGCGCGGACGAAAGCGAGGTTCTCAGAACGGTTCGCGGGTAGAGAGCCGCACGACAGGGGGGAGCGTGCTCATGTTTTGCATGCCTTTGCTGCTAGACCACGCGTCCGCGAGAGGACGGAGCATTGTTTCCACACAACTGAGGGGCCACTTGTTCCTTCCTACTTTGCCAAGAAAGTGGATCAAGAATTTTTCCTTGCCCGATCTATCCTCTCGATATCACTTCCCGCCTTTTCAGCCCATTTGCTATACCCCGGTATATGTTCTCATGGCTATCCCATGTTCAGGGGGAGGTAAAAGAAGCCGGCCGAAAAGAATCTTCAGTTGGCAGGCGGCAACAACAACGCTCTACCTAGCTACCATGCTCTTTCGGGAAATTGCGCATGAACGTCAGCGTTCGCTGACACCGAGAGGGATAACATGAAGCGCCGACGCTTGTATCGATCCCCGAAGCTAGTGGCATCTTCAATCGATGCTACACTAAAATACCGAAACATCTTCCGTCTGTCTCTCACTTGTTCCACCGTGATAGATCCGTCGCCTCCGAATCAACCCACCATTAGAAAAGCAACCCATACGGACAGTTTACATGGAAGTGGAAGCCCCCCCCCCCCCCCCCCCCCCCCCCCCCCCCC